ACAAAAAACTAAGGAGAACAGAGAGCAGCTCCTTCGAGATTTGTATTTGATCTTTGTTTTATGAGCTATGCAGAGAGGATGTTAGCCGGTAGAAGGGGGGACAGTCTAGGAATGTTACCAAGTAAAGGGAGCCTATCCTCTCACCCCAGCCAGAGGCCCCCGTCTGCCCCGCTCGGACCAACCTTGAGCTCGCCCGCCGGGGCTGAGGAACTTTCCGGGACTCGGTCTTGGGAGCAGCGAGCTGTGAGGAGGAGGGAGGCTGACAGGTTAGAGTCACACACAGGGCGCTGGAGTGACTCAGCCGGGCGGGGCCTCGCGGGAAATCCCCGCCCCGCTCTGCGGGGAGCAGGCTGGGTGTGTGTTGACCCCAAACCCCTCAAACGAAGGCATTTTGAGCACTTCTTGGAAGCATCTCTCTGCTGGAGGCATTTGCGAGGTGACTTTGGTGAAGAGATTTTGTCACTTTCTGTAATTCTTCGAAATGAGAGGAGGGATGAAACCGGCCTCAGAATAAGGGCCGGCCCTTGTGCAACGCGCTGCCTCCTCCCTCTAGTCCAGCGGTTCTCAACCTGTGGGTCGCGACCCCTGTGGGGGTCCAAGGGCCCTTTCACAGGGGTCGCCTAAGACCATCGGAAAACACATATATAATTACATATTGTTTTTGTGATTAATCACTATGCTTTAATTATGTTCAATTTGTAACCATGAAAATACATCCTGCATATCAGTTATTTACATGACGATTCATCACAGTAGCAACATTACAGTTATGAAGTTGCAACGAAAATAATTTTATGGTTGGAGGTCACCACAACATGAGGAACTGCATTAAAGGGTTGTGGCATTAGGAAGGTTGAGAACCACTGGGCTGGTCGCTGCGGTAGCTACAGTGCGTCCAGGCCCGGTAAGCGCGGGAGTGAGTGCTGTCTTCGAAAGGACCCCGGGAATGCACAGGACTCCCTATTTATTGGGACAACGTTACGCAAATGAGGGCATGGAGGCTCTGCCAGACAGTCAGCAGGGGGGAGAGCCCGGATTAGAACCCGGGACGCCCGGACTCCCTTTCACTGTGCTCCTTGCTGGGGTGGGGGGAGATGGGAAGAAGGAGGGAGAGGCCGAGGGAAAGGAGACGGAGGAGCCATAGAACTGAAATGCCAGGCT